CTAACTGGTAGCAACGTGATTTATTTTGCAACTGCCCCTAAAAGGAGTGCTCCCCCGCCACGAGTTAAAGCAAAGATCGAAGGTCATAAGGTAGCTTATATGCCTTTGTTGTTTTGATTCTTCTTGTTCTTCGTTGTTTCTAATATTCCTTAATGCCTTAGGTGTCTCGCAATCCATCCTCAACACCCCAAAAGAAGCTTAAAAGAGCTTATGTCCATATTATCATTGACTCGGAGGATGATGACGAGTCTCCTCCTGAGAAATTACAGCTGAAAGAAATGGTGAAGAACCAGCCAAGGGACAGACACTCCTGGAAACCAATCTGAACCTTCGATGGCTAAGACTTTGAAGCTAACTACCCCTATCTATGATAGTGCTGAGATCCCCACTGAGGGTACCTTGATCCCAACCGTAGTTCTTGTCGAAAGCGACAATTCTAGCTCTGCTGATGAGGGCACCAAGGTACATTTATGCCTTAATTCTTCTTAAGGTCCTAGTTCACTTACACCTTGTTCTTATTTCTCATATCTAATTCCTCTTTATCTAGGTTGATGCTGGTGGTTCGAAACCTCCATTGAAAAAGTCTCCTTCTCCAGCCAGCATTTTAAATAGCCAAGGTGAGCCTACTTACCACCCCACATCTGACTTGGTGTTGCACCCCAAAATTTAACCAACATTTCTTTACCTAGCTTGTGGTTCATCTCATTCACATTAGCATTATCATTTGCATCTCATTGACATGCATGCAGTAGATCAAGAGGTATGATTACCAATCAAGAGTTACAAGACTTTGAAGCTAGCCAAGAAGGTTACTCAAGTGTTCAGATGATCAAGGGTTGATATCTTTGTCAGAGAAGTTAAAAGATCCTCAGAGAGATTGGTTGAAGCCAAGGTTGTGTGTGTAGCGGTAAAATCGTGAGCGTAAGTTATTAATTAACTTAACTCAAAAAAACAAGAGTCGCCACCGCACTTTTATTTTATCCAAATAAAGGAAAGGAAAAAGAGCGAATAAAACCAAAGAGTTCTAAAATAAGAACACGAGACAGAGATCGGGGTAAGGGGGTTGGTTACGCAATGGGAAGGTGTTAGCACCCAAAACGTCTATAGTACTCTATAGGAGCCCTTTGAAATATTTACGCTTTTTGGTTTGAAAGTGGTTTGTTTGAAAAGAGATTGGGGAGATGAGAAGAGAATTATTTTTTAGATTTTTGTGTTTGGAGAGACTTATCGTCTCATGCCTACGTACCCATAAAGTGCAATATGGAATCAAAACCCCGTAGTTCGTGGTACAAATGACAAAAATTTGTTGGTTTTGATTGATTTTAGATGTAAAGACAGGTCGTCATTTCAAGGAGAAAACTGCGACCATCCACCCACGAGTATTAAGACAACATCTGCGTCACATAAAGATGGAGGATTTGCTTGGATTATCAACAAGACTATCACTCAACATCAACGTGGAAAATGTCAAAGTCTTAATAATATGGGGAATAGGAGATTTACATCTCAACTATAGAAATGAATCATGTCTAAACTTTATGAAAAGTTTTTTTAAAGTGAAAAAGTGCATAAAGGCACAAAAAGAGTTGATGAGTTTTTGTATTTTTTATGTCTTTTGAAATTAGTCAAAGCATGATTAACATTGATTGACTTTTATTAAAAAAACAAAGTTTAAAAAATCACTTGACGAAAGTCAAGGTTTTATTGCGAAAGCGGTTTTGAAGTTTGAAACCAAGAAGGTTTTGAAAGAGGGAGAAAGTTTTGAAAATTTAAGAAGGGGGAGGAGATGAAGTGACTATCCTAAAAACCAAAATAAGAGCTAGAGGTAAGAAAGATCTAACCGTCTTGTAGCACACTCCAAAGCAAGCAAAAAGAATTCCATCCGATTTAAAGCGTAAGTCAATGATCGAGCCAAATAAAGGCTAAGATTCAAAATACTCCAAGCATAGGGAAGAAAGTCCTAATCCTAAGTCCAAAATGTCCATGAAGTCCAAAGTCTAAGAATGGTCCAAGAGTATAACCACAAAGTTAATAGCACCAAATTTTTTAGATGTTTTATCCTTTATTAGTGTTTTGAACAAAGTATGGTCCAAGTGGACAAAGAGAAAATGACATAAACATAAACAAAGATATGATATGAAATGGTAAAATGGAAGCATAAAAAGTAAGAAATAAGGAGTAAGAAGAGAATATAAACAAAATTAAACAAGGATATTGTTAGTGAATTAGTGGTTAGTGGTTAGAACATATGATCAATGATGATTAATTCTTGCACTTAGACCAAGATTAATGAAAATTCATTAGAGGATTGATAGAATCAAAGCCTCCTAACAATGATTTTCATAGGTATTGGAGTTAAGACAAGCAACTAAACATACTTGGACTTTTAAACGTAAGTTTGAGCCACGAATGATCATTTTCCGATTAAGGGACACTTTAGCGCTATGTTAAGCAATCGTAATCGGGTTTATGTAGAAACCACGACTATCTGAGGCCTGTCAATAAAATGTTAGTGTTAATACATGTTAGAGAAATGATATATAAATCACTCTCCTAAAACATGCCACACAAAAATAAAAGAGGTGATGATCTCATCATAATCAAGATTTTTCATCAATTAATCAAAGGTAATCTATCACTATTCCAAAGTAAGGAGAATTATCTCAATGATTATTCGTCCATAGTTTTGAAATAATGAAGATTAATCAACCTTGATAATCAACAATCTATGATCCATAGATTTCATCGATCAAAAATAAAAAGAAGAAGAAAGAAAATGAAATCACAATTTGAATCTCGAATCGATTAAATTATCGTCAATATCAATCACCTCTCTTGGTGGATAAAATCAACACCCAAAGTCCATTGATATTGATGAAATCTTATCAAATTCAAGATCCAAAAAAATCAACACTTAATCAAAATATTTTCAAATAATTTTTTTAAGAGCTTTTTCAAAAATGAAATTAAAATACAAATTTAATAATAAAAGAAAAAAAATGTGGAAAAGTCCACACGGTTAAGTTCTGAAAGAAATAAAAAGGAAAATAAAAAAAATAAAAGAAAAATATAATTGAAAAGTAGAAAGAGAAAACTAAACAGAATCATCTTCTTCTTCTAGCTCTCACAAACGAAAACATTCACGGCCATGGATGCTTGCTTAAATCACAACGGCGGGACGCGAAAAATACGCGGTTGCAATCGAAATCAAGAGCTCTTCACAATGGTACCAACAATTAAAAGAATCACAACAAAAGGTAACGGATCGAAAATGACGGTGAAGCTCAATCTACCTTCAAACTCAGGTAAGAAATCAATCCAAACTTCTTCTTGCTTCTCTTCTTCTTCTTAACGAATTCTGGTTCGAAATTGATCTGTGTTTGAGGTTGATTTGAAGTTAATTTGGTGGAAGGAAGTATGAGAAAAGAATGTGAGCAAAAGGTTTTGTATTGAGGAATTGAGGAAGAAAATCAGCAGAGATTTTTTGGCTTGAAAAGCTTGAAGAAAAGAGTGAATAAGGTGTTCTATTTATAGATGAGAATGGGTGAAAATGATTTGCCGTTTGTGAGATTTTTTTCTGCGTTTTGGGATGCTAGTTATGTGTGACCTCTTGTGATATTTTTTCATGCCGTTTTTGCTTTCACATTTGTAGCTCACGAAGTCGTTTTTCCTTTTCACTTTTTTATGGCTCACATGACTTGGAAATATGGCTCAGATACGTGATGAGTTTGCTTTTACCCTGTTGCAAGTGGCTCAGCTGAAAATTTGTACAGTAGTCTAGTAAAACTCTTGATATGGCTTACTTCCAATTTTTCTTGGATTTCATTCTCTAAAATCTCAGTCTGACCTGGAGATGGTATTTGTATGCAGAAACTGAAGGACGATGATGTCGTTAATTTGCAAACCGTTCCCCGGGAGAAACAAATATTAGTTTTGTACACTGGATGCTGTTACTACACATTGATCAATAGGGGAAAACTCTACAGGCCAGATTCCTCTCTTATGCCCTTTAAATACGACTACCGATACTAGATCTGGAAGTCTCCAAACACAAGCGGTGCGGTCCTGAGAACTACTCCATACTAAACTATCATTTGGAGCAACAGCTACAGAATTGATATATTTATCATGAGCTGCGACAACAGCTTTTGCTTTTAAGTTAATTGGAGCTGTCAAATTGTCCTTGGAGCATCAACCTGAAGGCCATTCACTGCAGGAGATAATTTTACCTCAGGGAGTCCAGAATCAGTCACAACAACTCCCCGCTTCTCTTCTATCTTCTGGAGAGTATTCTTGACAAAAGCATATATTTGGCAAAGTGTTGAACATTAAGTTGTTGAGCAGTCAGGAGTGGTATAAGCAATGGAAGAACATGTTCGGCAACATATTCTACTCCATACTGCTTAAAAATAGAATTTGCAACCCCAAGGGTACACGTAAGGGTTGGAGGAGAACGGTCAACAGCAGTACAGCGCTGAATAGTTTGCAAGATTTCCAGGACAGCGTGTTATCAAGTCGGTTAACCATTTCTCCTAGGCACAGCAAAGCATTGACTCTAACCGCGGCAAACGTTGTTTTGAGTGCTAGTCCATGAACACGGGGTAAAATCACTTGTTTCACCGGCTGGGAATCAAGTTGTTTGGCGAGGGATACAGACTTTTTTTTTTAGGACCTCTTCTTGTATACGTGCATCATTATCATCATTGGCCCGAACAATCATTGGAAGAACATGTGAAATTAAATGTTCTTGAGTTTAAATGTTCAGAAGCAGTAGCATTGTGTCACCAGAAGCAGTGCTTAAGACAGGGACAAGGGCTGGAAGTGTTGATTGCTCAAAAATCATTCTTGAAAAGAAACTGAGACTCTGCAATGGTTAGAACTATTGGTAGAATCAGTGGTTGTATCACTACATTCCTAAGTTCTGCACAAAATATATTTTGTCAGAATAATAGAGAACTCAACCAACATCTTCTTCTTTCCTTAGTAAACAAACTAAACTTTTACTGCGTAGTAACACTCTTAGCAAGATTCCGAGGCTGGTCGACATTAAATCCCCTCAGTACACTAAGATGATATGCCAGTAACTGTAATGAAACTACATTAATAATAGGCTGAAGACAGTCCTCAACCAGTGGAACTTCAATTGTCCTACAAGAATTACCAGGGCATACGGAAGCAGCATCCCCTTCTGAACACATAACTATCAGACGACCTCTACGGGCATGAAGTTGCTGAATAACAGACTGCCGTTCGCTGAAGCAAGCATTGTGTGTAGCTATAACAACAATCGGGAGAATTTCATCGATCAATGCCAAAGGACCGTGTTTCATTTCGCCTGCGAGTATCCCTTCACTATTTCCAATACAATGGCCTCTCCCTGTGACCAGTCCATTTAACAGGTGGATCATTATCACATCTAGGTGATTCAAGCTCTCCAACATCTATGGTCTCATCTGTTATAGTTGCAATAGTGAAAACAACTCCTAGGAGTCCTTCAACTGCCAAAGTTATGGCATGTGCTTCACTGGTAACTAAAATTGCAGAATTGGACGCATCATTATCCAAACTCCATTCAATGCCTTTGGCTTTGCTACTAAACATTCCTGCAACAGCTGCCATGGTATGGGACGATTTGGTATTTCTATTATTAAGAGACCATCATTCTCAATCTCACTTATTCTTCCAACACTATGATGTGTCTCACCACCCCAAGCATATCTAGGTTCTGCGACAGAACGCTTCACACAGACCCTATCACCAATCCTAAAAGGAGGAACATGCTCAACCTCCTCTGGTTCACAATGCCATGGATTTGGAAGATAGCTCAGTTCAATTAACAGACTACTGTCAGGTCGGATACAATATACAATGCCAATGCTTCCTGGTGTAACAGATCCTAATCCATGCTTTGCAGATGTAAGAGTTGGACGAATATGAACCCAATCTCCAACCTTGAACTCCTCAACACGTTCCATCTCTGCTGGGTCAGCTTTCCATCCTCTGGATGCTCCAGGAAACCCAACACGGAGGATTCCATCCTCGTCAACACATAACACAGTCCCAATGCTGTCACGTGACTGCCCACGCCAACCAAACCTAGGCTCTTTTACATCTTCTTTCAGTTGTACATGTTGTCCCCTGTCCAATGGAACGACTTTTACAACTTCATTTGAAAGAACATGAACGTCTCCAGAACAAAATGAAACAGTGAGATTGTCCCTGTCTGGAACAGTTTGCACAAAGCCAACACTCTTTGGTCTAGCACCTTGCCATCCATATGTTGGAGTTGTGACAGTTCTTTTGAACTTCACCCAATCTCCCACTTCAAATATTGTAGGAGATAAATGAACTCCTCTATTTGTGAGTGCCTCCATCAGATCTTCAGATATCCATTCTCGGGGTAGAGCCTCTAAAATGTCCTGTAGTGTCTTGCCACTGTGGTTTCTGACTTCAATATCGGCATCGGGATTCATTAGCATAACAATAAGCCAGTCCAGATTTTCACGTATCATTTTTGCTGTTTCTGCTGCTATATGGAAAGCATTATCACCATCATCATCCTGCAAGTTATAATCTGCCCCAGCAGCTAGAAGCAGTCTGACACATGCCTTTGCACCCCTAGCTAAGGCCAAGTGAAGAGGTATACTGCTGTGCACATTGCGAATGTTCACACCAACACCAGCAGCAAGAATAACCTGAACCAAGTCCACATCATTTGTCATAGCAGCCGTATGCAAAGCTGTCCTCCCATTCTGTGAATCTTGAGCAGATGGATCAGCTCCTGCTGTAAGCAATATCCGCACCAAGTCTCTCCTCTCACTTTCATGGTCTTTCTTAGAAGCAGCTGCCATGCACAAGGCAGTGCCAATAGGGCTTGGAATGTCAATTACTTCAGCAATCTCATCAGAAGTTGCAACTTCCACCCATCTCTTCACAACAGAAACATTCCATGTTGCTACACACAAGTGTAGAGGTGTCAGATTTTTTGAATTCAAGATGGCCATCGATCTACAGCCTCCATTTTCCACTATCACGAGAGCACAGTCTGTGAACTTCTTGGCAATCGCCCTGTGCAGTACAGATTCACCTTCATCATCCACTGCATTGGCGTCATTGGACAAAAACAATTCCTTGGGCTTTCCATCTTTTGATAGGAATTTATTTTCCTCATAGGTGGAGCCATCCTCCTTATTTTGTGCCAATTCTTTAACACCTAGGAGCAGCAGGCTACCACGCTTGCAAGCAATCAATTCATTAGGATAATATGAACTTTTGGAGATAAGTGCATAGGCTCCTTCAAGAGAAATGTCATGCACTTCCACGTATCTTAGAACTAACTTCCAATCATGCTTTGAATTTACTTGGAAATGGCACACTTGAATGAATATCAAACTTGACTTGCACAGACAAACTTTTGAATCTTCGGTTAAAACTGAATCACTTTCAATATGTCTGAGTTAATATCTGGGAAAATAAATCCACAGATGAACACAACCTGGACTGATGAACCTTGATCATAATAGTCATGGACCAAACTTCTCATAGAACACTGCTTGATAAACCATTGGATTTCAATACAAGACAAATTGACATTGAACAATCTCATTTCTTGAGAAAATAACCCACCACCATGGGTAACTTATAGTTGAAGCAAACTCTTGATAGTTTGACCAAGATGAGGTCAAACGTCCATCTGATTTAAACTTGAATGAATGTCTTTGCCATTAATCTCCTTGCAAAACCCTAAACAAACAGAGAAGAAGAAGAAACAAACAAATTGAAAAATATTTTTGATATTTTGGTTAGATGTTAGTAAACAGAAACAAACATAAAGAAAGTAAGAAACCCGTAAGGGTGCGAAAGCTAAAAATATGACCTTGTTTGTGGAATGATATGCCAATGAAATGTGGGATCTTAGGGGTAAAAATTAGGGTATTACAGTGTGCCTCCTAACTTGAGAGTTGTGGGGGCTCCTCAGATGATGCTGAAGCTATGAGGATGGACTTGAAGCTTTGAGAGAGCTTATGAGATGTCTTGAAAGCCATCTTGAAGCCTAGAGAGTTCATTGTGCAAGTTTAAGAAGACTCAGCCATGAGTGGTGTAATTAGGGTTTGACTGGGTCAACCCTAGGTCAACTGATGATCTGGAGAGGGTTGAGACCTAATCCAAGAGCCATGTAATCATGGATTGATGCATTGAGATGCCATAAGGATGATTCCAAGATCAACTCATCATGATTGAAGAGTTTTAGGAGTTTCAAGCTAGGGTTTCTAAGGCTTGACAGTGTAAAATCCCCTAGTTTGACCCCTATCTTCAAGGCAGTTTAGCTCAAGATGTGATTGTCATCTCATCTTACCCCCAACATGAATGTTGTAGAGCTTGTTCTTAGATTTAATTTTAGTACTAGAAGTCCTTGATAGGATTTGTAGATCTCAAGTTATGACTTTGACAGGTTACAGGTCATCTGAAGTATGTGAATCTGGGGCCTTGAAAGTCACCCAACTTGCATCTGACTTTTGCCTAAGAAGGATGATTCCTATGAACTTCTGGTCAACATGAATGTTGTTCCTCATCTTCTTAGCTTTCTAGAGAGTACTAGAAGTCATTTATAGGATTTGTATAACTCAAGTTATGGCTTTGACAAGTCAAGGGCATTTTGGTCATTTGGAGATTATAGGTCATTTCAAGCATAAGGCCATAACTCCTATTTCCAAGCTTCAAATGGAAACATCTTCAACATCAAACTTGCTTAAAATGATGTTTTAAGGCTAGTAAGGAGGTCATGAGATGTTGAAAAGGCTTGTAGCTCAAAATGGTAAAAATGACCTAAAATGGAGGCATAAGTTAAATAAGTCAAAGTTGGAAATTGAAATTTCCAAGCTACACATCCAAACCATGGCATGTAATAGGTCATTTTGACTCTAGAAAGCATTCTAAAAACAATGGTTCAGCCACATTTTTGATTTGAGGTTCAAATCATGGACTTGCTTTGGAAAATGGTTGCTTGCATATTAAGGTACAAATGCAAAACACAAGGAAACTCAATACACAAGCTAGCAAAGCATCTTAACACCTCATATATCTCATCTAAGGAGATTTTCAAGTCAAAACAAGTTGCTGCAAGAGGCATAGCATGAGATGATACATGAGATGGATGGAAATCAAAAACTCATGGCATGAGAATCCCAAATTCTCATTGGATGATTCCAGAAGGTTCTGGATGGGTCTGAACCATCCTATATATGGATTAGAACTTGCTCAGATGCAAGGTTGGTGAGAGATTAGAGAGGAGAGTGAGATAGCCATTTCAATTTCTTCCATTGCAAGTTGAAATCAAATTCTACTTTCCACACCATTTCCATTGCTTCTTTCAATCCCAACACCTTCCATTGATCATACTGAATGTGTGCATACCAAATTGAAGGCAAGATCATGAAGAATTGAAGAGTTGGCATTTGGATTTTGGAGGTTGCAAGTCACAATCGGGTTTGGAGATTCAGGCTTTCTTGATCAAATCTTTTGCAAACATAAGCTTTAACATCAATCAAGGAGTGATTCTGAAGAGTTTGAGAGGTTGAAGTGGAGGTTTGCCCCATCTGATAATCAAGATTTGACAGGTTTGTAACTTTTCTTCTGCACCATAATTTAAGCATAATTAGCTAGATTTGTTAGGTTAGAATGGTTAAAGACAAGTAGGAGATGGATTCTGGGAAGTTTGAGATCATTTGGTGAAGTTTGAGTTGGTGACACCATTTTTGTTTTGATCAAGAACACGATGTATGATGAGATATAACATGAGATTAATAGCAAGATTTAACTAGTGTGAGGTGGTGATCATTCTGAGGTAATCAATTTCAAGAATAGTCAAAGTTGAAGTTTGAGTATATTTTTGATCTTGGATCGGGTTCAGAGATTTAGGGCATTTCAATTGATTTTAAGGCCATGGTTGTGATCAGCATTGAATTTAGAACAGGTTAGGGTTTTGAACCATGGATTTTGGTTGAGATTTGAGGTGATACGATTGTGGTGAAGATTGAGCTATGAAGCTCTGTTTCCATGGCTTCTTCATTCAAACCCTGGCTGGAGGAAGAAGATAAAGACATGGCCGTTGGATGGAGAGTGGACCCATTGACTGGGCGTGGATCTAAAGGCTGAGATTCAATTTTGTTTGAAGAGGGAAGTCTGAAGATACCCTAAACGCGACGTTTCATTAAAACTGAGGTTTTGGGCTTAAGTGATGAGATTGATATCCACACCCCAATTCATGGCCCAATCAGGAATTGAATTGTTTTTCTTTACTCTTTGCACCGTGTCCTTTTCTTTTTCTTTA